CTGATTTTACGAATGAGGGTCGCCTCATGGCGCGTTGCGCTTAAATGTGCATGCGGCGTCTTCAGCGCCGGCAACAGTGTCGATGCGCGTCCCTTCCAGAAATTTTCCTTTGGCGTGAGAAAACGAAGCTTCTAGAAGTTTCGAAGGCGTCCCTTTTTTGTGAGTGCTGGCAGTAAATAATATTTCAAATCGTAAACTTGCTCGGACTTGCCGAGTTTTGTTTGTAAACATTTTCTCGAGTGCCCGCCTCGGTCCGCACGTGCGGATCAGCCTAGGCGCACGTGGTGGCCAGCCTTGCTGCACGCGCGGTCAGTCTAGGCGCACATGCGGTACGCCGGACTGCGTAAATGACCTGTCTTTTGTTTGAAATTCATGGGACTGCTTCAATCCCGAACACCTATCCTTTTTTAATAAATCATCATTACCAATTTAAATTAAATGGTATAAACAGCATTAAGAATTATATATGTTAATTATTGAATTAGTGCATTAATCTTTCCATTTGCCCACGCATTCTTCTACACAACATCTAGTGGTTTCTTAGGTAGTTATATACGTTTGGTTGACGAACCAGATTAGTGGATTTAATTTTTGAACAAAAACCATTTATAATTTATAATTTATTAATTTAATTTTAATTCAATAGTTTAATGATATCAATATTTATATAATGATAATAATAACCAAAAAATTGACTATATTTCTTTTATATTTCTATTCTTTATTTCTTTTATCAAATAGCTTACCAATTAGGTAAAATATACTAATGAAGCATTAAAAGTTTGAATTCTATATAATATTATAATAAAAAGATAATAGTTCAAGTACCTTAAATTTAATTAACAATAAGCTTCGGATTCAATTTCCGTATTTTATGATCGCGAAACGAAAATTCGTCAGAATTTTTCTTAAACCTACATATATGATTTGTTTTAAAAAAATGCTTATTGCGACCACAATTTATTTACGTAAAGCTTATAATTATTCACAATTTGATTTTTTATTTTCAGATAACATGCAGAAGCACTAATTTGTTTTATTGTTTTTAAATTTATTTTATTTATGTACTTATGGAAATATGACTTTTAAACCATTTTTATCTTATTTAATTTAAAACGTGACCACTTTTTATTATTACATACAAATTGACTATTATATACAAATAAATCTATGATATATATTGATCTCCTGATTTCGGTTGTGAATCAGGATTACTTTTTGTATAAAGCATTACCAATATTTAATCCCTTCAGCAGATGAGATACTACTTATAAAAAATGATTGCTTGATTCCTTCTTTTCTGGAATGTCTAAACAGTCAGGAATATCCAAGATCACCTTAACAGACTCGACTGGATTAAAAGGCTATGTGGAGGTATGAATGAGCATGTATCTGTTTGTATTTTCGTTAGAGGTAGTTATCAGTGTCTTGAATGTCTCATCTTCTGGAATTTGACTCTTTAGCCATGAATAAACTTATTTCTCTTGTCCCTAAATTAATTTTTCTATCACTAAAATCTTTTGCCAATTGAGATTGCCAAATTCCTGAATGTTTGAAGTCATGAGATGAGATAGCTGCTGAATATGCAACTATTAGAGCTATATTAGCCACTTTTAGGTCAGAATAGTAGCTATCATCGATCAGACGACACCATGGAGAGGTGTGTCGAATATTCCCCTTTTTGCAGCTTTCAAATCTAATGTTGTCCATTCCATGAATGGTTATAGCTCTTAATTTGTAATTTCCCTCTATGAGATATTGGCCATAACTCTCGCTTCCCTTACTGACGACCTGAAGCATATCAAGACTGAACAAGACGGTAGTTTCATAAATTTGATGTCTTCTCTAGAATAAGAGGTTTGATCTCTGAATGATATGAATAATTCTGTAAATAGTTGATAAGTGCTACTTGGATTGAAGCTTATCAGACAGCTTATCAGACCACCGCATGGGTGGGTCTAGATCTCTTACCTTTGACATAAATTCAAATTCAGGAAGTTTCTCCTACAAATAATAGTATAACTTATAAATATGACTCATCTTCCTTCTTAGAAGTAATAGTTAATCTTATAGTATATTATGCACTTGTAATGTGTCTCATTGATGATTTTTCCTTGGTGGTGCTGGGAGTCATGAGTTTTGGTTTGGCGTTGATGACTCTGAAACTTCCTTTTTTCTTGGTTTGGCATCTTGTGGTAATAGAGAGAAAATAACAGTGAGGTACTTACAGTATCGAAGAGAAGACATGAGTTATGACTCAAATATTTTGATTCCATATAATTGCAATGTGTAATGAGTATGGCTGTGCTTCTTTCCTGCTGTAGTAGTATTGAAGAAATGCACTGACTTCCACTTATCCGGCTCGAAGGACCAAAATGTCTGGAATCAGACTATAAAACCCCCCGGTTATACGGGGGGGGGGGGGAGGAGGCAAATTTGAGAAGAAAGGCGCATTAATCCAATTCAACGCACAGCTTATCTTGGTTTTCTATGTATTTTTGAACTACGATGATATGATTATAAGTGGTGTTGAAATCTGTAAAATTCCTTCAGTGTTCATTACGGGATGATGACATTCACTACTCGCAGCAGCATAAGGTGTAAATCTCTATACTTCCTTGAGTAGTGCCACGTGTTGGTGACTATCTAATAATTGCTTCTTAAAGCCGAGCGAATGGTTTCAACTGCGACCGTTCGCGGGATCTTCGGAACTGATTTCTGCCTTACTAGACACGCTCTAAGCTGTCACTTGTGCGCCTTTGCTATGTAATTTCTGCTTTTATTAGCTTCACGGTAATGGCTTTGTCTTCCTTAGTTTTGGTGATAAAGTATTGGTGTTGCGCTTCAATTAATATTCACTCTTGAATTACACTTAGCACTCGTGTCTGTTTGAATATAATACTTAAAGAATTATGATTTTTTATGGCGTCACTGTTGGCTTAGATTATTAAGTTATAGTTGGCAAGTTATGTACGTATATTATAATTAATCTCTGGTATGTGGCTGTGTTAATAACTGACAATTGATTGACTGAGAAATGCTAATGAATGATAGCAGATGCGAACGATTGGTAAAAATATACTGAGCAATAACTGATGACTAATTAAATGCTCAATGTACAGTGAGCACCGGTGCGTAGCGAGTTGCTCTTAAATATTAGCGTGGCAGCTTGCAACGCTAGCAGCAACGCTCGAGCTTGTTGTTAGGCCGAAAGTCTTGATGACGTCAGAACGAAGCTACAGAATATTCGAGAAGTCTAGAAGGATACTGACTTGGAAGGTTTGAGAATTGTCAATCGTCGTTGCTATTCGGAAATATTGTAGACCGCTAGGCAATAAGGCGTAAACTATTTGAGAATTCACAGAATCAATGTTTACAAACCTAAGGGTCCGAGAGCTTGTACTTTTCCCATTTTTAAATTTTTCGACGTTGCTCCAATCCTGAACAATACTTTTAGTATATCCTAGAATTTAAAAAGATTGTAGCAAAACAAAAATAATCATAGAAATACATCTGCCAACGGGCATATGGGCATAATCGTAAACACACACACGCGCGCATGCACATAATACATATATATATATACAATCACTACGTAATGTATAGATTAAAATGTATATTATATGGGGAAAATAAATAAGTTCAAATTTGAACGTACTCAATATTTCAAATAATTATCATGAACATAAAAATTTATTAATATAAATGTTAACGAATATCATAAATTGCCATAATTTGTACCAATATATTTGTATTGATGTTTTAAAGATATTAACACTGATTAAAAAACAACAACTATTATTGTAAATTATCATTAATAACATATACAATCAAAAATTTTAATAATGAATTTTCTACAATTACATCGTTTAAATTAGCTATCCCATTGGATTGACCTAAATTTATTTAAATTACAACGACTTACATTAAAAATAATGACAGCTTCATACATGAAGTTAATATAAAATAATTTTTAATATTACAATAAACAGTAACTCATACCAATTTATTTATTAAATTTATAATTTATTATTTATTAATTTATAATTAAATTCATAATAATTTATTATTGTCATATCAGTGAATATAAAAAAAAATTAATTTTTGAAATTTCAACTATTCTAAAATATTAGAACGATTTTATTCGTAAAAAATATAGTATGTTTTTCTAATATATTACTATTTTTAAAGAAATTAAAAAATAAATTTTAAGAAATACTTTTCCAAACTGTCGAAGATAAAAAAGTGTTTTAAATAAATAAAAAACTTTTAAAATAAAAATTATTTAAAAATATAAAATTCATTTGCAGTAAAAATGAAAATTAAATATATAAATATTCAAATAATAATGCAAAAAATATACTGTTCGAGTTTGCGAGACCTTTTTCATTGCAATATAACATCTGGCAAAACAACATCGTAAAATTGTGTTTAGATTTCAAAACTTTCTTGCTCGCAACCATCTAGCAATAGTGTCATAAAATATCTGGAAAAACAATACAATAAACACGGGAAAAACCCACTTATTAGGTATATGTACGAATTCACTCCGCTCGATAACTACTCCAAGCAGTATGTACTAGCGAACGACCCCCCTTCCAGCTGTCAACAAGTTGTCACGCTGTCGCCAGATGCGTCAGCGGCAACAAGAGCTCTTCTTGCCATGAAGACCAAGAGACGACTACGCCCTTAATTAACTATGAAGCCAAAAGAGGCGCTACCCTCGCTCTGTAAGGGAGGAGTTTCTGATTGGACGAAAATTAAGAGAAGGGGTTCAAGTGAATTTCATGGTCAGCAAATGTATTTAAGGGGCGCATTTTTCAAGATTCAAACACTCTCGATACAGTACTTATTCAAATAACTGTCAAGTGGAAGTCCATTAACGCAGTTCAAGTAACCGTCGTTACAAGTTGAAAAGGATCGAAGAATCCACTTATCGGATTCGTCCATTAACGCAGTTCAAGGTAACAGTCGTTACACGACCTAAAAGAACGACGACATATCTCCGTATGTCCATTAACGTAGTTCAAGAAACTGTTGTTGTTCAGAAGGGTCGAAAACAAATCACCTATCAGAGTCCGAAAACAAATCAACGACTAGTCTTCGTAAGTAGTAGCACCACTACATAATCAAATAAAACTTAAGATTCAGAATACGTCATCCACAATCAACCAAAGAAGAAGAGGCTCTCACCAGAGAGACAGTGCAGAATAATTCCAAGCTCGTCGTCAAGGTCGCATCAACTGATGCGAGACTTGCCGGCCTTACCCTCACCTTAGTTCAAAGTCTAACGCTTATGAATTCACAGCGTGCCATTCAACGCTCGCAGGTGACACAACAAGTAGCAGTATGCTTCATGAGGTAAAAGCCCTTTAAACTCTTACTTCCATCTGAATTTATTGCAGTACGCCAATATCAAGACAAGGTATGTTTGCTACGATACGAGTATATATCTCAAGTAACAACAGTTATATGTGTTGCGCTACATAACAACTATAACCTCAATTACACACGTGCTCATCTAAACAGCGCGAGTGTCAACGAATCAAACTTCGCGCCATTCTGCGCCCAAATTCAACCATCTCGCTGCATAAGTGAGCCACCGCAAACACATTAATCCACTCCAAGAGTTAATTCAATAATTAATAATAGTAATACTAGTCAAGCCTTGTCATCAAAATAATTAACAGAATAAACAGCATATATCAGCCATATTTATATTGTATTATTATAATATCCGTTCCACTTGTAACCTTTCATTGCTATCACAAAACACCTGTGGTCTCTGAGTTGTCAACGGCATCAATTTGTATCCTTCGAACCGGCCTTGGTAACACAAGCCGGAACGGCGAATACATTTTGTACAAATACAAAAATTTACACATATAATAGAAAAGTTTGTTTTATAAAATTATAAAATCACTATGTTATTTAAAATTTGAAACGTTAAACGAAAAAATACATACATTAAAATAATTGTTAAAAATAAATTTACAAATATTGTATTTGTTTGAGAATGAGAGACTCTCTTTTTTAATGCAATAAAACATCTGGCAAGTAATATCGTGAAAATTGTATTTAAGACTTCAAAACTTTCCCGCTCATAATTATTTAGCACTAGTGTCATAAAACATCTGGAAAACTCTAGCAAAACGTGTTCATGCTCCCAGTGCAGTAGAACTTAATGGGTTTATTGCCGGGAGAACCCCAAAGTAGATTCAGAACGAATATCAGATATGCGTAAAGCATCGAGTACAAAACATTTCCTAAATTTCACTGCAATCCAAAACCCCGCACGTGTAACAACAAGCAATAGGCGTACGTGCGCACTCGGCTTCTTAAGACAATGCTTACATTGTTCTTAACTACGCCGCATCTAGTCGATCGCATCGGAAAATCGACCACGTCCAAGAGGACCCTTCATCTATCCAAGTCCCAAAGAAGGGAGAGGCGACCAAGGAGAGGTGACCAATAGTAAAGGCTCCCCACTTCCGACACTTTCCCGATTAGCATATTCGGGTCTGAGCCCGGAAGGAAGTGGAAATGAAGGCGTGCATAATCTATTGTGCTGCCCAAGATCAACCTCTGATTGGTTAATTAATAAAAGAAGAAGTTCTTTCTACGATTGTGAATTAGTATACAGTTGAAATTGATCTCATCAAGACTATATTGCATAGGACCAGACCACTTGTAATCTCACTTGGAGACAAGGAAGAACTTAAGAGTTGCAATATTACAAGGGAACTTCACATCAAGCCAACTAAGAGAGACTGGAAAATTCACGATACACTGCAAGTAAGACCTTACAGCTAGTATTGATTCTTGATTTCTCGGCTTACGTAGAAAACGAACGGATTAAGGTCCGACTATCGAAGCTTCCCAGACATACTCTAGGACAAGACCAGCTACAGACGCTACAGTGGCCTTTCAATTCCTCTATTTAGGCTCTTATACGACCCATATTTAGAGGCAACTGCACACGTGTTGAGTTGAAACAATAATATTGTAATGTTCGAAAAACAGCGCTACAATCACCATAACCTCAAAGTGATAATATTCAATAGATTATAACCTATTTATTTTTAGAGTAAATCATAATCTCCCCAGTTATATGCCGAGAATAAGAAATTGATTATCCTCTAGTTCTCCAATAAACAGATATATATCAACACCACAATATTATTAAGAAATATAAAGGTCATTTGTAATTTCACCATGGTTAATGATTCCCACTTGGAAATAAAGTAAAATAAATGAAATAAACAGCAATAATAAAGATATGTGTTAATTATTGAATCGGTGCATTAACCCTTTATTTGCCCAGCAATCCCATACAACATCTAGTGGGTTTTCTGTTCTAAGTTGATTTTTGCACGTTTGGCTGACGAGTCAGATTTGTGGAATTATTTTCTGAACAGTATTTTCTATAAAATATTTTTGTCGATAAAAAAACATATATTTCATTAATTTTATTATCATAAAACTTCGATTTATAACGTGCAAATAAATATTTTTTTATAATAATATGACTTTTAATACGTAAATTTCCATTTCATTAAGATATTTTTTCATTTTTATTAACTTTCATTTATTTTTATTAATTTTGTTAATGATTATAGAAAATTGTAAATTTAAATATGGAAAAGTTTAAAAATTTAAAAAATGAACATTTAAAATAAAAATAATTTTTTTAAATAACTGTAAGAGCCGTTTCCTAAAAAGATAAAATTAAGTACTAAAAAGAGTCTACAAAAATGTGGATATGCGACTTATTTAATGTCAGAATTTGAAATCTGACGGAAAGATTTATAGATTACTTAAAGTATCAAACTAATATTTTTTATTTTATCTTATTTGTACACATTTATTTATATTTCTATTTTTAAATCATAATGAATTTAAATATAAATATTTAAATTTAAATTTTACATAAATAAAATATATAAAATAAAATATACAAATAAAAAATATATAAACAATTTATACAAAATAAAAATTTAAATATAAAAGAATTTAAATATAAAAAATTTTAATTTAAAATGAACATAATAAAAAATAATGGACATAAATCATACTATACATTATTCAAATATTTGATTTTCAAATTACTGTTTTAAAAATATTGTTTATTTAAATAAATAATTGTATATGAATACATAAGATAAACTAATTTTTTGGCTAATTATTTGCAATTAAAATAAATTATATCATTACATGAAATTTCAGTATCAACAACAGAATTTTAATTTATTCCAAATCTTCATCAAATATATCTAGAATTTTAAACTCCTCGATAACATTAAAAGTAGTTAAATAATGGAATAGAAAATATTTATAACTCGTGATATATTTATATATTGATATTATTGTAATTTAGTTCTAATGTTAATAAATTTTATTCATATATATTGAATCAATTTGAAGAAAAAATTAGTATTTGAATAATTATATTTTAATATTTGATATTTATTAAACTTTAAATTTTGTGTATACTGAATCCTAGTCGCTTAGCTCAATGTATAAGTGAATTTGAAAACTACATGAAAAAATACTTGAAATAAATAAGATTTAATAGTCTCGATTTAGTAGATTTTAATTTCACTTTGTTATTTAAATAGACTTGTTAGACTCTTAAATAGACTTTGTTATTTCACATGAAAAGTTTCATATTTATTCAAATATACGATAAAATAATATTTGTATGCACAGAAAGTTTATAAAAACCATTTTCTATATATCATCTATTTTTTAATTGCTTTTTAAACATTCGTCCGTAAAATTAACATATTTCTGCTTAAACAATATTATCAGGCGCGATAATAATAACAACAAACACACGCAGTAAAATTAAAGAATTGCTAGATGTCGAGTAAAAGATTTTAAAATACTGTTAGATAAAAGGAGGGGATTAAGAGAAAGACAAAAGAATAAAAAGAAGTCTAACCTCAAAGCCGAAAGGACAGAGCATCCGACAAATATGTGCTGGGCAGATCCTTGGATGATCACAATCAACAAAACGTCTCTCGCTGGCTCTCGTTCCAGCAATCTCGCCACCAAACTCCTCGACACACCAACAAACAGGATCCGCAATTGGACCGCACTGAACCCGATCAAACTCTCCGGTAATGTTGTTACAACGCGGCGCAAATTGGGACAGGCCATTAGCTCTAGAGTGTCGCAAAGCGGCCAAGTCCAGTTGTTCACAATCTGTTAATTCTCCAGTTACGCAGCGCATACCGCAGGCCGTTGTGCAGCAACGTTCGAGAGGTGCCTGACACATGTTATCCAAGTTACAGGTTACTGACCGAGCTGGACAAATATTCTGCTGGCCGTACGTTGGACAGCGGCCAACTGATTTGACTATTCTATTTTCTACTGCCATCACTATAAGTAGAAGTATTTCTGATGATTTATTACTAAATACCCCAAAAACTGTCGATGGTTTCTGAAGCACCCAAGCAATAACGATAGATTTATACAATTATATTTAAATGCTAATCATAACAAGTGGAATGAAAAAAGTTGGCAAAAAAGACTATAAGTAATGCAAATAATAATTTATATTTAGAAAATTTAAGTAATTTGAAATTTCCAGATGTCATAACTTATTAAAATTTAAACATTGATATTGAACTGTACATCGAGTATAGAGGTGTATTTACTTATTACATATTGTCTACTATTATTAGACTGTAAATATATAAAACAGTTTAATATTAAAAAATACCAATTAATGTATTTCAAGTACACTTTTATTATTTATAATACGTACTTATCATAAAATAGGCATATTCATAAATTAATAAAAATAAAAAAATAAATAAGACATTATACCTAATTAAATACAGTAGGTAACAGCGATTTCTATATAAATATATCTAAGCATGAATATGAATTTAAATATTAATAAATAAGTCACATTTTTAAAAAAATGAATTATGCTGATTCAAATTTATAATATTTTCTTATGATTATTCGTATGATAATATAAAAAACCTAAGTATTGTTTTATAAAATTAAATATATAATAATTAGTAAATTATATTGAATAGCTATTTTTTATTCCATATAATATGTTAATATTTGATGTTATTACTAAAATAAATAATTATGAATATTCCGGAATCAAATATGATTACAGAAGCGTATTAGAATTCCAATAAATTTTAATTGGACATTTATTACACAAAATAGTAAAAAAAAAAATTATTTAAATTTCGAATCGATAAATCAATCAAAAAATACCAATGAACTAAATTTGGAAAATATTTCAAGTTATATTATTCCTATTGTTTAACGGCGTATATATACGTCATTTGTTATATTTTTTTATATTATTTTGAAAATATTATAATCAATTCAAATGTTTGATGTAAAATTATAATTAATATGATGAAATAATGCTTAATTAATTGAAATGTATTAATAATAACAAATTTATAAATAATAAGGGTAAAATCCATGTGATTTTAAGTAATTAAAATTTGCCATTATTTAGTTTAGTTAATAAATTTACTTTATAATCGATCAGACAACAATTTAGATATAAATAAAAAATTATATATTTTTAGCATTTAAATTTTACGAAAACCTCGATAATCTTATCAATATATAGACAGTATATCTTTAATTCTAAAGCATATTAAATTTCTCATGCAATGTAGATACAAATGAGTTCTAAGAATTGATTTGCCACATATAATAGCATGATTTACTATCAACAATAACTTAAGATGCTTCGCACAGTCAATAGTAAAAATAAGCATACAATGGGAAAATATTTAGATACACATAAATAAATCACACGTGAAATATAAAAATAATTGCATCATCAAAGCAAATAAAAGAGAGTAACAAGATTGAATTTGGAATTTAGTGTATTCTCTTAGCACAGAAAAATCACTAAAAGAAGTACTGTCAAAAAACGACGATAATGCGCCTGAAAAGACTATATTTAGTACAATCGACCGAATATCAACAAACACGTAAATTACCGGAAGAATAAAAAAAACAAAAGAGAGAGGTCACGCAACGCGCAATCACTGGAAATAATAAAAATACCCTGGAATCCACATAACGGTTTCGTACATCCTATTGCCACACTTCCTACATTAAGTTCTTATCCTGTTCTACAAACTAAGGAAGTATATATCACTGTAGTACACATTAAAAAATTTGTATTTTAGGCTTACATTTGTTTTCATTTATATACGATGTATATATATATATATACGATGTCTCTCTTTTTTTTCTATTTTTGTTAATAATAATCATTATTTATTCATTATTCATAAAAATAATAATTTGATATCCTGATCTTTCACCTTAACAATTTCATAATGTGAAGAGAGATTACAGGAGAATTATTTTCATACAAATACATAACGTCGATCTCCCAAAATTTTAGCACCGTTGATTTAACTATACAAACAAAATTAATACCTTAAACGATTATTATAACAAATCGTAATTATTTATTGGAACAACTTTTTTCCTCAGTGATTTACTATTCTAAATAATTTTGGTTAAACTATTATGAAATTCTGCCATCTTTTACTACAACTGTATATTAGCAGTTTTATTTTAATTTTGTATATTTTAGCCAAAATATCATTTACTTTATTGACCGATTATTTAAAATTACTCCCACACAGCGGAGGTACTATAATAGAATACAAACTTAATTTCAAAAGTTGGTTTCACTTTTAACTTTGCATTTAATAAATGAATTTTGTAGGTTATACAAAATTTCTTTATCGTAATATGTCAAATTAAGTCAAATTAATTCTAGATATTTTATTTGATAAATATCTATCGGTTTTTTAAATGAATTTTAAGCTCTATTAATGGATAGATTTTTACATTACAGTATCTCTTTTGTAAATGTAGATGTGAAAATATAATTTCAATTTAAAAAGTTTCAATAAATTAAAAAAAAAATTTGTAGGTTTCTTATATCATAAAATTAAGGGTTATTCAGATATTTATATTCAATATATTAGATTTTATATTTTTTTATATAAACATAAATTTTTATTTTAAGATAAAAAATAATGTTCTAAGTCCATTATAATTCGAAGGATGTTCTAATTCCATTAAAATTTATTTTATTAAGTGTAAAAAATTAATTCACTAAAAAAATGGATTATTATGTAAAAACAAAATAATAATGTAATTTTTACAAATTTTGAAAGATTCTTAATTAAAATAAAAAATAAATATCTCTTTACAGATTAAAAAATGTTTCAATAATATCTATTAATATTTATATTATTAATAATATCTATCAATATTTAATTTAAATCAGAAGGTAAAGCTTTTTTTCTGAATATAATTTTTTAAATGAAATTATAAGACATTTGAATTTTATTTTTAAAAGTGTCCTGAATAAATTATTTCTTTGGAAATATGTACAAAATATTACATAGTTTTAGAGGAAATGATCAAACATACATTAATACACAATGATATAATGTAACAAAAATGTTTGAACTAGTGGAGTAATTAATATAATAAAAAAATTTTTAATTTCAAAGTTTTACTAAGAATTAAAATTACAGTAATTATTCTATTTTTGTAGTTAGGGTAATTGCAGTAATTGTATATTTTTAAATTTTACCTTTATATTTAATAATTATGTTTATTGTAGTTCTATATAATTCACTAAATTATAAATTATTAAAAACTTTGAAAAATAAATTCAATGAATCACATATGAAAAATATTTTCTTTTAATAAAAATACAATACTAGTTATATCTATAAAATGATTCTATAACATAATAATCCATAAACGAGCTGTATGAAATTTTTATAATTTATAAATTACAAGTAATTTTATTTTAATGTTTAGGCTTTAGACAATAGTTTACATTTGCTTATTATTTTAAATTAATAATAAAATTTATTGGTGAAAACAAAATCATAAATACGTTTATAATTCAAAGTCATTCACAGGCGCACACAAAAATATACATAGTATATGCACGATATTGAGATCGACCGAAAAATATTTCCTAACCAATTAAAATTTAGTTCAATATCATTCTAAAGTTAATTTTAAATTTTCTATACAAATAATTATATATTTTAAAGATAAATTTATTTGAAATTAGCCATAAAAATATGTTAATATTTATATGTAATTAAAAATAAATTATAAATGTATGTATGCCTGTTCGAAATTATAGTGATGTAATTCTTGCCTCGAACTGCCAATGCTTCAATAGCTTAGTTTTCCGCCCGCACTAGCAAACGTTCGGGAAGGATTGAGATATAGGGGCTGTACAGGAGTCGTGAGAGGTGGTTAATTTATTATACAATTTATTACACAATTTACATGTGGGTGTTGTACAAAATGTATTCGCCGTTCCGGCTTGTTTTATCAAGGTCGGTTCGACGGATACAAATTGATGCCGTTGACAACTCAGAGACCACGGGTGTTGTGTGGTAACGATGAAAGGTCACAAGTGGAAGGGATATTATAATAGTACAATATAAATGTGGCTGAAGTATTTATCTTTTATTCTTTTATTTATTGATGACAAGTTTGACTAGTATTACTATTATTAATTGTAGACCAACTCTTGGGTTGAATTAATGTGTTTGCGGAGGCAAACGTATAGGAATCTATGCAGCTTGATTGGTGAATATGAATGTCGAATGGCGCGAAGTTTTCGTTCGTCGACACTAGCGTTGTGGGAATGAGCACGTGTGTGGTTGACGTTATGAATCCAGCGTAATGACTGAAAGTTACCGTAGAGTGGCGCGAAACTTGATTCGTCGACAGTTGTGCTTTTTGGTGCTTACGGTTTCATAAGCTTCCGAATTTGAACTAAGGTAAAGGTTACCGAAACAGACGCCCCTTTTGCGGGCACGAACTTGACGACGCGTACTGGAATCTATTCCGCACTATCGCTCTAGGAGGAGCTTCTTCGCCTTTAGTTTTTGCTTGTGGATGTAATACTCTGAATCTCAAATATATGTAATTATTGTAGTAATAATACTACTTACGAAGACTAATCCTTGACTCGTCTCCGGACTCTTATATACGGATTGTCGTCGCTCCCTTTGAACATGTGAAGACAATTTCTTGAACTGTGTTAGTGGACATACGGGTTTATGTCGTCGTTCTTCTGAGACGTGTAACTACTGTTGCTTGAACGGCGTTAATGGACAATCCGAAGAAGTGGAAGTCGTCGCTCCTTTTGAACATGTAACGACAGTATCTTGAACTGCGTTAATGGACATACGATGTATGTCGTCGTTCCTTCAGGACTTGTAACTACTGTTCCCGTAACAGCATTAATGGACTTTCACTAGACACTTAACTGAATATGAACTATATAAAGAATATACTATATCGAGGGCGTACTATCGAGAG